TGAATTCTGAGAAAGTAACTCAAAAAATTTGAAATGATCGTGAACATCATAATAGTATTGGTATATTAAGTATAAAACAGATGCTACAAAAAGAGATGGAACAAGCGAATACTGACAAAACTAGGTGATTCTGAAAGGGGGGAGAGAAAAAGAATCCGACTTTTAGGTTGAAGCGACGTTAATCTGTGCTTCTGTTTGCGGAAAAATGGTGTTACTATGTCATGCTAGGTACGGCTCGGATGTTGACCTTTGGTCGATAGGGGTCATCTTGTACGAGATGCTGAACAAGAGCTACATGTTCACGGGAGACTGCGAGATCGACCAGCTCTACAAAATATTCCAGGTGTTGGGTACCCCGAATGAAAATGTATGGAAGGGGGTGGGGCTACTGAAGTATTTTGACGAGTTTGTTTTTCCCCAGTGGGAGCCTCAGAGTTGGGATTCTATTTTGACGAGGCCGAATAAAGAAGCAGCTGATCTTCTGAAGGTGAGCAGAGCACTATGTAAAATGAAATTATTTCCGCCTGCCATTACCAAGCATTAAGCGTAAGATATCTTTTTGGCTTGCGATTACCAGGCGCTGTCAAATCGGAATGTAGACTTCTCCAGGGTAACAACGTGTTTAACAAAATCATTTGAATCATTGATAGCTTGATTTGAAAAATTACACAACCAAGCAAGATTGTGAGCTTTATCTTAAAATGCACGACCTTTTTGTACAATTCAACTCACATAAAATTGTTCATTTTGGTAAACACTTTCGCTGCATAGTAATTACAGTTTAATAGCATGTGTTCTCCGGTTTATGCGTGGAGCAGTTCTATAGGGCACGCGAGTAGGATGCGCGAGGTCTGTGGTTCAATTCCCGTAGTGTATTTATTTCTCAAAAGTCATTAATATATTTTTTTGGCATTTTCAAAGCGTTTTGTCGCTTCTGTTTTCGAAGTGCAGCTTTGGCTCTGTGTAAATTCAAAACATACTTTGTAAAGTAAAGTATAAAAGATTTATTCTGAAGTTCATCAAAAGGTTATAGCTCAAAGTTTTTATTGACAAAATTTTGTTTTCAGCGGCAACCATTTTGATGTGTAATGGAAATTAAATTTTGATACCAGTTGAAATCTTAACTTTTTTCAGCTGTTGCTGACCTACAATCCCTCTCGACGGATTTCAGCTAAGGCAGCTTTGCACCAAAGTTACTTTGACGATTTGGACAGGTCTCAGCAACCTCTTAATCAGTTAGTCCATTATCCCCTCCGATACTAATCGAAGTTACCTGAACTGACAAATTTACGTTAACATACCTGAGCTCCTGAACTCGAAGGTAACTTGGACTGGGAGGATGAATTTTTATTTGTTCACGATGATCTGTTGCGTTCTAATCCACTGATTTGAAATGATTATTTGTTATCGGTGCTCTGAAGATTTTAATTGTGTTTTGCTTCGCTTGTTTCTTGTTGTTTATCGTCGGTGCTACCATATTATAACTAAAAGCTACTGAAACTTAGGCTCTAATATTTTTCTACCGAAACTTTGGCTCCAAAGATGTCTGAAAACTCTTGAAATCAAAAGAAAGCTGCGTTCTGAGCTGATTTTATAGATGAAAAGCGTGGAATATTGTTAAAACACCCGAAATCTTAGTTTCTGCCCATTGTGGTTGGAACAACAACATATATATTCAAATATCATTAAGCTTTTAAGTGATTCTTCAGTTGATGAGTTTTTGTTTTAATTTTCAGTAGCACGTTTCAGCTCCAATTATGGACTATTTTAAAAGCAATATGTGCTATTTTTATATTCAATTCATATACCTTTTAATTGTGGTTTCTGGCAAATCATTTTCTTAGTTGGAAATACAAGTATCGTCATAAAATGTTTTGAAAAAGTTGCATGCAAGAACTCTGGTTGTCGTCGGAAGTTGCCTGTTCTGCTCTATGTTTACAGGGCAATTCAGGGTACAGGGCAATTCAAAATAACTCTATCGATTTAAAAAATCCGTAGTTGTGAGTCTCGATTTCTTGTGAATAAAATTCACTTCAATTTCATTTAATTAATGTGGCAAATTCGAGTTTCAAAAAAAAGGGTGCCACGATGCTCGCAAAATTGAACGAAAGAGACATTTCGAAAAAGTTAAGGTAGTTTACAAGGTGACATAAGCAAGCTTGCTCCACTGCTCTTAGCTTTGACACGAGTGAGTTAAAGCGTGTGAAACATTGTTTGCTGCTAATCTATATAGTAGTTTAAGCTGAGCTCGCTCGAAAATACGCGAATGACGTTTTGGTTAGAAAGTGGATTTTTCCCAGCGTAATAAAAAGTTACCTTTAAATGCATTTTTTTCTAATTAGTCTAGTTTTATGAAAAAGCTGGTCGTAAACTTTTCTCGAACTTTAGAGAGCTTCAATATTTCGTTCGAGATTATTTTTTTCTTGGAACGTTTCAGAAAAAGTCAATCATTTTTTTGCTGCTTTACTTTAAGTCATTGGTCCTTTTCCAACTGTTTGTTTACTATATTCTATGCAAGCTAGCAAGAGTGATGCCATCTAACGAAATCAATTTTTGTTGTGTAGTGTTACCAATTAAATAGCTTTTTCTCAAATAAATTAGTGAATAGAGATTGGATTCTGTAAGCGCCAGTGGCACAACTGTATAGGGCGGAAAACATTAAAGTTGGATGTCCGAGGACTGACGTTTGGTTCCCGTAGTGGTCAAATGTTTTATATATTCCTTATATTTCACGAAAACCTTCCTGAAATTTAATGGGCTAATTGGTTGCATATTTTTTCATTGAAATTATCATTTATAATAAGGTCATTTTTTTCTGCTACCTAACCAATTTCTGTTCGTGTGTTAGTCAGGTTTTAAACTTGAGTTAGTTCAGAAGAAAGCCAATCATTGCACACACGAGCTAGCGAGCGTAGTCTCATAGTATCGATCTCTTTTTTCCCCTAACAAACTCGCAAATGAAAGTGCTCATTTGGCGGTACTTGTGCTTTAACCACGACATGTAGAATTAAAAATATCAAGGGTCCGCAGCGCAGGTGCAAGGACGTGAGACTCCTGTGTCGGATTCGAATCTGTGACATCTAGATTTGGAATTACACGTCCTCGCATCTGCGCCGGGGGCTGTTGAAAGTTTGCTACACTATCCACAATAAGGCAACTGCAGATTCTAGTAAACTGACAAATTAACTTTTATTTGCGGATTTGTTTGGAAAAAAGTAGTCATAATAATACTACGCTCGTTGGTGTAAACAGTAGACTAGAAGAAGCTACTTCTTGTTTATTCGCTTGTGTTTGCGAAATGCCGTTTCAATTCTGGTAGTGACGCTTTCTGAACGAACGTACGTTTTTTTTAATAACAAATCAATTTTTGAACTTCCAAAATCCAATTTTCATAATCAGAACGTTACTAGATCTCCTTGCTCGAATTTAGACTAAATCCTAAAAATTAGTTTTTCTCGCAAACCAGTTTTTTTCGAAAGCTGGAAATTTTTATGTAGTTCGAATCACGACTGAAAGGGTTTTAATATGATATTATCACTCGAACCAACCCAATGATTGGTTAGAAAGGGCTCCTTTGACTAATTTTCTAATTTTTCTTTAACTTCAAACCAATTTTTCTCGACACTGGGGCAACATTTTGAAAATTTTCAAATGTAGTTTGAATTGCGACTGAAAGGGCTTTAATATGATATTTCACTAGAAACAATCCGATGATTATTTGTGGCACCTGATTTTGCTTGAAAAGAAAAAAAAAAGAAAAAACCCTGATACGAATTTCTTCCCCATTTTCAATTGTCGGAACAAATGCGCCTAATAAATTTCAAAAGTTTCATTTTTTTGGAATAAACTTAACCATTGGTAATTGATGATTTTTTGTAGCTTTTGGCTGGATAGCTGAATAATGAACCACTTAAGATTATAAGATCAACAAAACACTACAAAAGTACGGTAACAATCGTCTCAATTTCAGTGATTTAAATATTTTCATTAGCGTCAGTTTTCAATTGGCCTTTATTTAAATTTAAAAATTGACCTCTTCAATAAAGATGTTTTTGTTTAGTTCTAAACCATGACAACCAGCCGTGATTTTCAATGTTTCGCCCAATTTTTCCTTTTTATCTTTGAGTAATTGACAATTTTTACTAATGCTCAGACCATGTCCTGCTTTTCTATATAATTTATCAGCATATAAAAAGCCAATTAACACACATACATATGCATGCACACGTACACGCACACATGCAAGCACGCACGCACACTTGAAGGCTTTCGAAAACAGGATTTTGAAATTGAAAAACGCTCATTTTTTATTTGAAGTGGCGCCAAGCTCTGCTTCGCCTCTAGGTCTCAATTGAAAATTTTTTTATAAGGATGATTTTTTTTCGAAACCATCAGAATTAAAAGTTTGTAACACCATAATTTACGATGAATAATCTACTAGAAAGCTTTGACATTTGGTTTCCCTGGTAGGTACAAAGTCTAATTTTTGCAGATTTGAGCTGTTTTAGCTCATCAATTCAATATCTTAGTTCATTTCAATGTGCTGTCAATTGAAGATTATTTACTCAATGCAGCTTTGCATCGCTCTCGATTTGTCATCGAATCTGTTTCTATATTCTGCAGCTTGCAAATATTTTGCAAATACAACTTTTTGTACTTTTTTGGATCATGTGATTTTAAAGTGAACTTTTAGCAGTTCGATCTGTTGCAGAACATGATCCTTGTTTTCAAATCTGTCTCCTGTCTCGCATTTGATCAAATGATTTGCAGTTATGATTCATTCAAAAATAAGAACTAAATGCCATCGGGACGAACGTTCGTTTGGCATTCGTGGCTCCTTGTCTTATTGTTTTGGACAGCAAAATTTTTTTCTGCTTTTAAATTGAGATAACGTTTTAAAGTGATAGAAGTATTCAATAAACCAGAAATTTAGTTTGACATAACAAACGATAATTTTAAAGGTGTTCAAAAGTTAGAATGAAAGACATATGTTTTGTTCGCCGTAGTCATTTGATTATGATTTTTTAATATCGTGCTCGTTCGGAAGTTTTCTCAAGAAACATGGGAAGTTTTATGGGAAACTTACACGAAACATTACGTCATTGTCATAAGAGAACGCGTTTAAGTTTCGTGGCTTCAAAATGACGCGAAGTACCACGTCATTTTCTGATGGTTGGCTAAACGATTGCTGACGCATACCATATTTTTTTTAATATTACGTTATGAAAACGACTACAATAACAGCGTGCTTTATTTTCATTGGATGATAATTTCTTTCAACCAGCACGTGTTTACATGTTACGTACCATTTACCAATATAATTCGTGTTTGGTTTGCATTTACTTTCATTTTTGCCACAAAGCGACCATTAGATTCAGTTTAAATACTGAAAGTATACTTGCTTCACATTTCTGAACCGTTTAATAGCTGTGACCAAAGTCATAATAGTTTGTAACTTGGTATAAGTTTTCATACTCCTAGTCGCAAAACGAAGTTTTTGATTGGACAACGACTTGAGTCGCGCTTTCCGTTATTTCGTTTGTTGTACTTCAAGACTCCGAAACCTCGATTAAGATACCATTTATCATATTTGCTTTAAACGTGGCAAGTCGTTTGCAATTCTGCATTTTATTGCAATTCAAATTTATTCAATTTTTATCATCGTTCTTCTGAACTCTCTAGACTTCTGTGATTAAAATTCACTCATTTTTGAAATTATTCCTTTGAAAGTTAGCAACACAGGAAACGAATTCTGGAATTAGTTTCTTCTCGTTTGATGAGGTGAGGTGAGTTACATAAGACGCCTTGAAAGAGTTCATTTTTTCGATACTTAAAGACTATTTTTGTGCCTTCTATAGTAGCTAACACTCTCAATAACCGAGTTTTGAGGTGGTAAAAAATTATATTTACACTTATACTGTTTTGTTTCAGATAATCATAATCACCTTTCCACAGATCAACTTTTCGAGGAATTTTCAACCCAATTTGATCTTTCCAATTGCGATTTTGTTCATCTTAAACCTTCTGTTTCAAACGACAACCAATTTTGGGATCCTATTCCAAAATCAGATATCCGGGATCTTTTTAACTCAGTTCGCAATTTTAATCCATAATTTAACCCAACTGAAATGCCTGCCTTGCCTGAGAGCCATGCACCTGGATCATCAGCCTCCGACGCCCAGCAGTACTTCGACGCTGTAGTGCCTCGATGGCAATCCAGCCCTCTGAATCCATTATTCCTGCAGCGCAAAGACCTCTTAATAGGCTCGAGGTCTTTCGACAAATTCATCGCTTCCCGCAGACTATATTGGGAAACACACGACGAAAAGTTCCAAATTCAGTATGACCCTCAAGAAAGAAGAAAGAAAAGAGCCAAAGAAACAAACACAGAAAAAACGGCAATGTTCTTCCTTCAGACTTGTCACGCAATGATGTGTGAGCTCCTCGAGAACTCACCGGCTCTTTGGCGCCGCAGATTTCAGAGAGTCCTGGATCTATGTTGTGCTCCCGGGGGATTCTGCAATGCGCTCCTGACAAGGTTTCCAGACGTCAAAATTGATGCACATACCTTGCACCCAGACGACGGAGGCGCTCCCATGATCACAAAGCACAGTCGTCTTAACTGTCAGTACAACGATGTCATCGAATTATCAGTCAATCAGAGCTTCAAGACGTTAATCAGATACGACATGGTCATCCTCGGAGGTGCTTGGGCGGCATACGTGGACGAAAACGGAGTGGAACAACAGGAGACAGAATCACGAGTGTTCTACCCGAACCTGAAACTGAAGTTTGCCGAACTACATATCATGCTGCAGTGCCTGCGACCGAATGGAGTGGCAATTGTGAAGCTGCCTTTGAAGTTCGAGAACCTCACCGGAACCATGGTGTGGATAATTCTGGAGAAGATATTCAAACATGTGGAACCTTTCAGACCATCTTGCAATTCCTGCTCATCACTTTGGTCACACTCGTTCGTGTATATGATCTGTCATGACTTGAGATCAAAAGAAATTCGCGAGGAGTATATAAGGAAACTGAAAAGATATCTGGACTTGTGCAGGGAGACGAGAGCCGACTTCGTGAACGATTTCCTGGAAGAGCAGGAAGTCCTGGAGCAAGTGGTTGGCAAAGAGGAAAAAATCTGGGAACAGATGGCACAGACGTACAAAGACAAGTTGTACCGACTTAAGCAGCGATAGTGGGAACTGAATTGAACTCGGATGACTTATGATATAGTGCTAAACCCAAAAGCCAATCAGATGATTAGAATGAAACGATAGTCACAATAACTCTATTTATTGATTAAGTAACGTAAACTGTTTTTAGCGTAAACATAGCTTTTGACGTGTTTTAAGAGCGATTTGTGTCTTAACTATATAGATATTTAGAAAGTTAGTTCGTTTTAAATAATAACTACCCTTTCCTTTCTTTGTGATGTTTAATTTACTGTTGTTCGTAAGCAATTCATATCAAAAGGCGCTCTAACTTGACATGTGTCAATCATGGTATGCATATTGTTATTTGTTACCAAATACAATTTTTTACCTACGTTTTTTCAAATTCCTCAATTTTGAATTGAGTTGTTAGCTTGTGATGAAAACTGCCGGACATGACTTAAAAAAGGCAAAGAATGACATAGATTAGCATTACTGACAGGAGTTACCATTTGTGTGAATATTCAGTAAACCTAAATCATAGTGAACGTTGAGCTTAAGTAGGTTTTTAAATTATGACCGAAAGCTCGCCTGCGAAGTTCGTCTTTGGGAAAATCGAAGATTTGTCCTAGCAACCAAAACTACTATTTATGAACTACAGCTGAATTATCAAGAATTTTACTTAAAACACCGGAACTCATTTCTGATTTGACTAATTTGAACTGAATCAGGACTGCTGAAACACGTGTTTCTATTTAAAGCTCTGACGCTTATCATTCGGATATTTGACGGCTGTGTTACTACTCAGTCGTAAATTTGCCCAATTTGGAAAGATATGAAAAACTTCTGATTCACAATTGGGTTCAAATTATTAGTCAAAACCCTATAACAGTGAAGTATAGAAACTATAAAATTAATGGCATTAAAAACTGCCCGTGATGATAAAAGCGTTAAACGTATGACAGAGAAAAGCTTTTAACTGAACTTGCTAATCCTATTCTATTTGAAACGCACTACTGTACAAGATTAGAATTATCACGATTGTTGATCTCCTTAAAGCGCCCGACCTTACCTTACTATTTTTGGCTATTTCGAATCCGAATCAGAACTACCGAAACATGAAATTGTGTCGTAGGTTCGACTTTTTATGTTCCTAATCGTGGGCGATAGTTTATCTTACCGAGTAAACAGCCAATTCAGAATACAATGTAAAACATTTGGTTCATTTAAGTTCATGTTGAACTCAAAAATGAACCAAGTGAAATATAGAAGTTTTCAGGTAATTATAATTGGGTCTTCTCTAATAATAATCGGAGAGCGATGTGAATTGATATGTAATTGAATACTAGGATCTTATAAACAATTTCTATTTAAAACTCAATTTTTGCTGCGTTCCGACTGGTCGAAAATTCGCGGAACCTAATCTTCTTAACAATCTGCCCTAAAAGGTTATTTCACGGCTACTTGAAAACACAATTTTCTCGAATTTTCCTTTTTTATTGGTTTCGTCCACTAAACAAGACAACTTTGAATATTTGGTTCTTTTTTTATGCAAACGCAGTTACCCAATGAAACGTTGATGGGTGTGGCCGTTTTTACAGCGACGGTTTTTCTAATTGAGCGAATGAAGTGATGAAACGAGATCGTCGGAACCCGCCTTGACTCCAGGCATCAAAACCCGCGTCGGCCACTCCGCGCAACTATAGAACTTTTTGCTCCATGCGAGCGTAATTTTTTTCATGCAATACAACGGGGGCTAGTAAAGTAGATGACATGCAAATTAGACGTCTCCAATAAAATGTAATTGTTCCGACTTTCGTAACGAAAGTAACGGAATATTTGTGCTCGGATTGGGGTTTTTTCAGACAAGTTTCGGCTTTTTAACAAGACATTTTTGACGGAATTTTTTTTATCATTCGAAAGCTATTGTTGTCTTGAGCTTAAATTTGAAAATATATTTTACCTGTGAATATTTTTCGTAAAATTATGGGGGTTTAAAGATTGCCATTTTGGCCAATTTGGGACAATTAACGCGCGATATATTTCGCGCTATTAACGCGTAAGCTAGATTTAATCCGTCTGAGAAATCGCTCCAAATTGGTTCAAGGAAGCTTATATGCCATAATTGATTTGTTAATAGGAGCAAAATCTATCACTTTGTACTTATTGTAACGTGTGGGGGGATGATTTCACAAAAAAATCTCAAATTTTTTTTCAAAACATATTTTATTTTTTATTTGATTACGTTAAAATTTTTCATGTTATTACTGCTCCATAGGCCTTAAAAGGCAGTCGGAACATTCAGGGCTTCGCCCTGATACGAGCAGTCTTGTTGGGACTTTAAATTCTTTTTGCAAATCTAGCATTTTGGACAAAAAGCAGCGGGCTTACAAAATATATTGCTTTAGCAAACTTTCACCAATACAAAAAGAGTTTATAGTTCCGTTGCATATCAAAATATTTATTATAATGATTTTTAAAACATAAATCTAAATTTTATGAAACATTACTGAAATTCATAAATTATACAATTGCGACATGTGAAAAACAGATTCGCATTCACGAAAGCTCGAACGAAAGTTAATTGTAGTCAGTAAACAAATTTCTCGCACGCTAACAATACAATCACGTCTAAGTTCCCATATTTGTAGTTTTGCATCGAAGTCTAAATTCAATTTTTTTGGTCACGTCTAATTTCCTAGGCCCCCACTAAAAATGATGCATTATTGATTTGGCAAACTTAAAAATACGTTCAGTCTTGGGTTGAGCTTCCCTAATTTAGACAAGTATCACACGATTTGTCAGCAATAACCCTCGTGCCAAATTTAAGCACAGCGGAGCTAGCGGTCACTGCTTGCCGATGCCGCGTTTGAAGTGGGCGTGTAAAGGGGGTATTCTCATGATGGAAGGACTGATTGATGGAAAGTTCTAAACCAATCGGCATCGTTAGACATTCATATTGGCTAAATGACTTTTGCATAGAACCGAAATCATTATTAACAGAACATGACTTATAGCAGCACAGCAATGTTTTCTGTACAATTTTATTCAGCTATACGATAATTTTTTTTTTCATTAAAAAAATCGGTTGTTCTTTTCAAAAAAAAAAATACCCGCCTTTGATTTCGCAATTTTTGAAAATTTATGTATCTGCTTATTTTCTGATCGTTCAATGTTAATTTTATTGGCCTGGATTTATTCGCGTCCTTGGAGATTTTCGCGGTGTCTCTGACATTTTGGAATACTAAGTTCCAGCTGGCTGAAAATAATGGAAAAGAAATGGCCATCATTTGGTCCCTTCATCATGAGGGTCGCCACCCGTGTAAAGTTTGCCGTTGCCGCGTTTTGAGGGAGCGGCGGTGGCCGAGTGGGTAAGACACACGCCTCTCAACGTGAGGGTTGAGTGTTTAAGCTCCTCTTCGGTCACGGTTGGAAGGGGTTTGAAAAGTTAACGTTCTGACTTGCTAATGAATTGCTAAAAGGCCGGTCTGCTAAAAAAATGGTCTGTTTTAAAACTAGCTTTATGCACATGTTTTCTAGCACTGAATGTCAACGGGAGCAATTCCAAACCAGCACCAACCACACCCCTCGGCATTTTGAGTTTGCTCATCGCAAAATGACGCTGGCTGTCACGTGCACAAAAAACAGTCGTAACATTTCTACACAGAAACTCTCGAATCAATTGATACAAAAATAAACCGAGTGAATTCTAATCAGAAACCACCCGCGAACTCAACATTTCATAGTTCCAAATATAATTTGGATAGCTTTTCCTGTAAAAATACAGAAATTGAATAAGATCTTCTCCTACATGTGTATTCGGTTAGGTGTGCAAAGCGCAACTTCGGCTGTGGAAGATATCTAAATATATATTAGAGGAACCAACATATGTAATTTGGTATACCCTCAATTTTAAGCTCTCGTAACAATGTGTTGAGTAGACTGTGAAAAGCTGGTTAATTTTACCTTGTCGAGCATGGCGTGAACAACAGCTGCTTAAAATTATTAATTAACATCCTTGGAATATGAGGCTTAAGTAACTAAAAGCTTAACAAATGGTTAAAACAAGATTGATGCTGTAAGTTATTTTGCTCAATTATTGCCAAATTTTATATTTGATATTTGATTGTCGTAAGTCGTTTTCAATTGCTCTGGGCGCCATGTGTAGGAGTTCACCAACCCTAATTTTTTTTAGAAATTGATTTGAGGTAAAGCCTTAAGATTTCAAGATAAAGCAAGCTTGGAAAGGTCAAGGTCAATTGTCTAGACAGATTGTCTTGAAGTTTTGAGCGCAGGTCAGCGCAGCGCTAGGGAAGGAGCGGCAAGGCAGTGTAAGGCAGAGCAGCGCAATGCAAGAGAGCATGGCGGGTCAGCGCGCAAGGTAAGAAAAGGCAGAACAGCGCAACACGGCAAGGCATTGCATCCCGCAAGGCATTGAATCCCTCTTCGGTCACGGCTGGAGGGGTCCCAGTGTCATCCGCCTCCTCAAGGTGGGACCGGCTGCGGCAAAATGGATGACATCTCCCCCTCCCCCACGGTTGGTCCTGCACTGAGCAGGCCGGGGGCAAAAAAAAGGCATTGCAGGACAGCGGAAGGAGGCGTATGGCAGTGCCAAGCAAAGCAGCGCATTGTAGAACAAAGCAGAGCAGTTCAAGTCATGGCCGGGCAAGGCAGCGACGCGCAAGGTAGGATAGTTCAAGGCAGCGGAAGGTGGAACATTACAGGGCAGCGCAAAGCAAGGCAGATCATCGCAAAACAAGGCAGCATAGCTCAACGCATGGCAATGCAAGGTAGTGCAGCGTAAGACAGAGCAGGGCAGTACAAAAAAAGTAGCGCAGGGCAGCTGAAGAAAAGGCAAAAAGCATAGGAGGGCAGCGCGATGCAAGACAGCGCAGCGCAAAATAATTAACTTGAATTAAAAAGAAGACCGATAATTTAAAAGTAATTATCCATTGAATAGTTCAATCCCGCAAATATTGCGTTAAAAAATTGAAAAATCCTGTTTTCAGGCTAAAAAGTTGTCCAACAGAATCGCTGAATCAGTTCGTGCCAACAGATATATCATTATAAATACCTGCTCTATTCGAAATGCTCGTGTTGGTTGTAAAGCATCGCTGTTTTCTATAATTTTCTTTTTTGTTTTTTTTCCCACTCAAAGGGATTTTGTTGGCCCCAAAGATGATATCTAATATCGGCTTAAACACCCCAAGTTACGTTGACTGAAGGGCTAATATAGCTTACTTCGAGTAAATATTCAAAATTTCGAGTTGCAGTTTTTTTAATAGAATCATCTTTTTGCGGCTCAACGTGTGCGTCAACAAATGAATTTCAAATGAGGTAGAGTGATATATCATTTTCAATCCCTTCCAATTTAATTGACTGGGTAATTGAAAAAATTGATGAACAGTTCGTGGTGTTGAGAAAATCCGGCTATATTATTTCTTACTTTTCAGACAATACTAGAGTGTCTGAAAAGTAAGAAATAATATAGCCGGATTTTCTCAACACCGCGAACTGTTCATCATTTTTTCAATTACGCATTCAATTACATTGGAAGGGATTGAAAATGATATATTACTCTACCTCATTTGAAATTCATTTGTGGTAACTAGTTTCGAGTTGAAAAATTTTAATGGATCTCAGAAACTGCGCGAAAAATATTTTTGGTAAGTTCATTTTCGATGCCAATTTTTCTACAACAAGTTTCAATGCAATCCCTTTGCGCGTACTATTCTATTTCGGGATTTAGAACAAGGAAAATTAAGCAAGAATCGTGGGTCAGAATCTCGATCTCCCTTATGTTCTTTTGCAGTACTAACAAATTTTCTGCTGGTTGTATCTATTTTTCCTATTTAAACATCCGTTTGAAGCCTCTCTTTACTGTGATGTCGCTTGTGTATGCATCTTTGTGTTGTATGTGTAGCAGAATATAATGACCTTGTTTTCTGATTCAGAATGTGTTATCTTTATGATCTTGAAGTTGTTTACATATAGCAATTATTTTTATTGGTCTTCGCACATTCCTTACCAAATTATGCAAGCGTTCCGAGGGCTACGTCGTGGCTTTAACCAATTTTCGCCATCTTCTGTGGAGTCAAACTGTGTGTTGTGCTCTTTTGCTTTGAAGTCTGATGTCAGGTGACAGTGTTTAGCAAATAGTCCTGTTTACCTGACTATCCGCTACTCGATATGACGATTTCAAGAAAAACTTCCTTTTGATTCAATTGCATCTAACACTTTTTTCGGCCTTAATCAGATACAACCCCGGTTTTCTCTCGCTAATTTTCAATTGAGAGTCAGGCGAACGAAACTACATTCAAAATTCTTGCATTACAGAACCATGTTTCCCATAACAAATTTCACCATCTCAATTTTTGCATCTTTTGCAGCAATCGAAAATTTTTCATTGGTAGATTTATCTTTGTTGTTCCGACCATTTGAAGAATGGCGAGGAACTTTGCATCCGGGTGTTTTTTTTTCTTTTTGTTTTCCACGCAGAATCAGGTGCCACAAACAATCATCGTGCTGGGTTTGAAGATATATCATATTAAAGCCCTTTAAGTCGTGATTCGAACTAAATTAAAAAATTTCCACTGTCGAGAAAAACCTTTTTGAAATTTTTGGTTTTTCGTCTTATTTCGAGCGAATTAAGCAAGCGAGTAGGCTTACATCAGCTTAATTATACCTAATTTAAGGCATAAAGTTTTAGTTTTAAGCGAGTTAATTAGTTTTTTGGAGTTCTTAGCTCCAATTTTAGGAACCAAAAACTTCAGAAAAGTTCAAAAATTTTCTGCAAAAAAATTTGAATTGAAAAAAAAAGTTTTTAATTTTTTTCTGCTTTTCTAATTATTTTTCTAAAAGAAAATTGTCCAGTCGGCCTATTTTAATTTTACTATGAATGTCAAATATGCTTTAATTATAGTTTTACGTCAGATCCCTTTATCAGACCACACAGAAAAAACTACACAAATATGAAAAAAATTTTCTTTGTAGTTTCTTTTTGTAGTTTTTTGTAATTTCAATTTTTAAAGACAATGGTCGGAGCATTCTGTGCTACTTGCACAGTAACCGACTATCCTTGTTTCAACTGTAAAATCAGATAATAGGTCAAAAATTGTTCTATTCCTTTTTTGGCTGAAAATTTTGGCTCTTTTCCAGTTTCCCCCCTTTCAAATTCAATTTTGAAAAGCTTAATTAACGTTGTTATAATGCAATGAAATTTGGCGTGGTGAACAAATCGACAACTGTGAACAGATTTGTTCTTCATACTTTACAGCGTAACATCACGCATTTAGCCGTAAAAACACGTAAAACAAACATAAAACTCGGTATTTTGGAAGGGGGGAAACTGCAAAAGAGCCAAAATTTTGAATCAAATAGTAGCACGGAACAATTTATCAAGAACGTGCAAAAATACTAATTACTTTTTACCGTGCCGTGAGCAGAAAATTTTTTAGGGAGAGATTTTTAAAATTTTGCCGGCCTTTTTTTTAGCTTGACCAATTTGATTTTCCAAGCTCGGCTCTTTTTCCTTTTCCCCCCACCTCACACGACCATCAATTTTATGGTGTAACGAGTGGTTTTACAAGGTTAGTTAAGAACACCAATAATGTTTGGCACAGCCTAATCAGTCCGGATATCAATTTTCATAACGATCGGACAATGTGAACAGTAACTTTACTAGTAAAAAAAATTGCAGGTGGGGGGAAGGAAAAAGAGCTCCAAGCTCTCCAAAAATAGTGTAAGGACCCTATTTTGTGAAAATTTTTGGCACAACAGGCAATTTTTTTCAAAAAACAGGCCAAAAAAGGCGTTTATATGCCTTTTGGAAAATTTTGACCGAAAAATTGCGTTTTCGGCGCGCGCTCCCCCCTCAAAATGAGTCATATTGGCGCTCAAGGCTCCTTTTGAAAAAATTTGAGGTTGTTCAGCGAAAATTGGATGTCATGAAGTTATACCAAGGGGGGACCCTTTGGGAAAATTTGACAACCAGGTTCGAGAGGGGGGCGACCGCTCCTTCCCTCGGCACGCTACTGATTTCTTACAAATAAAATTAAGCTTGAAAAATTCAAACAGATATCTATCACAGTAGAAGAGGTAATTTGCTGTATGCTCAATCTATCGGGGCCCCTTTTGATCTTTTTTAAAAGTATTTGGATGGTCAGAAAAACTAATAATCCTGAATTGTTCAACAACATGAGAATTGGACAAATTGGCATAACAATTATCAAAAAATCAAAAAACCGTAGTGTAAAAAATAGTCTTTGGCTAAATACATTAAGTCAGCAGTGAGTGACCTTAGACTACTGTCGAGTGCTTAATAAGAGGGGGGGGGGAGGTAATAAGAGTGAGATCCCCATTTTTATCTGAAAATCAATAAGCGGGGGGTTTCGGATAAGAGGGGATCCATTTTGAACCTATAATCCATTACATTGTTCGAAAAGGCGGTGCACCCAAGATGTTTTATCGAAAATTACTTTTGAAGAAGTTTTTTTGCGACAATTGTATCATGACAATTGGAATGTTATCGAAATGTAGCAACAATAGTAAGTGAACTTCGAAGTACTAACATGTTTCAGAAGTGCAGATGCGGTGACACTATTTCTTAGAAAACTCAAAGCATTAATCACGTCGTTGGACTTTTTTAAGAAATGCATAACACAAAACGCTGCTAATATATTTCTCAGAAATGCGAAAATTAATTACAGGGGGGTTCTGAATAACAAGGGGGGTACCCAGATTTTAACCCAAAATCAATATCAGGGGGGGTCTTCTTATTAGGAACTTGACAGTAAGACCCACTAAAAATTGTAAAAGCCTTAAGGTTACATACTTGAAAAGATAAAAATCCTGAAACAAAACCGACTAAACATGATTCAAATGAAATTGAACAGAAAATTCCCTCTGTAAATTGATTTAAAAAAATACGAAAAAATTGGAGCCACTGATCAGAAATGCCCAATACTAGAAATGCTCAAAAATGTATACCCAGGGCGCTCAAGCAGTTGCTGTGACTAAAGGCAAGAAAAAATCAGATGAAGTTGACTAAACAACAATGTTTTCATCGCTTTTGTGTAATGTTATGTATTTAATGTCACAATTTATCGTTTTATGAAACAATTTAATCTTTTGACTTTGTTTGCTTTTGGAAGTTTTTAAAAGTTAGATATTTTTGTTAATAAATTTTGACACTGAATTATATTGATGCAGTTTTATGTAAAAACTGTCTTTTCCGCTCAAAAACTAATTAACTTTATAGATTCGGAAATTCTACGATAATTTATTTTTTTTTACTTTGGACTTTTTTACTTTGATTTTAGTTTTTTTTGCGAGTCTTTTTCAGCTTTTTGTTATTTTTGCGGTTATGATTGTTTTTGCATAGCAAATTGGGATGCGAATAAGCTTTGATATCAATCAAAGTACAAAGAGCAAAGTTTCCATAGCTAATAAGTCTTGTGTTCCTTATCATTTGCGATAATGTTTCAGTTCATTTCGTGGTCAGTTCAATGCTTATTTGCCTTCAGATAACTTTTTAGACTTTCAAATCTATTAAACCGAGTTTCTGATTCCAGATTCATTAGTTCATAAGCTACCATTTTTGTACTATTTCGAATGACAAATCTAACTCTTTATCATGTTGCTAATACTAGGTCTGTCAGACCTCTTATATTATACCATGAGTTGAAATCAATTTACGGCCAGCGGATTCCGGAGCTGATGGTTCATTTGATTCCCAAGGAGCAGCTTCGAGCCCCAAACAAAGCCGCGATTCTGTACGAATTGAATCCAAATGCAAAGGTGCCCGTTCTTCAGCATGGAGAGACGGTCATCTTCGAAGGATGCGCCATTTGTCTTTACTTTTTGAAGATGTTTGATGAAGATCATATTTTAGCCTCGGAAAATCAAGATTTCAGGGCAATATTGTACCAATTTAGCGTATACACTCCAGGTAATCAAACGCTTTCTATACAAGTATTTTTCGACTGCTTGTCTTCAGAGACTGGTTTTAATCATTTTTTTTTGTTTGACCCAATTGTAGCAAAGTTTGACGTTTTTTTTTTACATGTGCGAGCTCGCAAGCGTAGGTTGCTTGGTCAATTCATTAATTTTTTAGATCAAAGACGCCTAATAACTAATTTTGGGAGCCTTGCTATACCAAGAGTGATTTTTCAGGCTTATTGTTTTCACCAAATGTGGTCTCAAATAAGAGCCCTATTAGTCAGGGGGGGTCTTTCAAAAATTGTCTAAATGTTTGCGGACTTTTTTCTCAGGTCGAACTAATTGATTTTCCGAGCGCTCCCAGAACACTATGAAAACATATTTTGACCCTTTTGCGCCGCAGACAACCATCTGAAAAAGCAGGTTAAAAAGGCCGTTTTTGGGGGGTTTCTGAAAAATTTAAAGCGTTTTAGGATTAGTCAGCTAAAAATTGATGTCCTAAAATAATACCAAAATGGAGTTTGCTGAAGTTGGCTAGGACCTTCAAAATCCTACTAGTCTTGTATCTTACTATTTTAGTATTAGTTGGAATACTACTCGGAATTTTTTTAAACACGACAAATTGCGTTTGATTATATGCTTTCATTTTAGAAGCTCAGCTTTGTCCAATTTTACAAAAAAATTTTGTGTTAGTTTCTGAAAATTTTTTCCGTTCAAATGAAATTTTCATTTTTGCAACAGTAATGTAACAAGTGTGCAACAATTTTTCTGTCAACGCCTGAGACGTTGCGTTTGATTCAACAGACAATAAATATCTTTTTTGTACGCTGCCTCAGTTTTTTCCAAAAGTGTAAAAAATCTAATTTTTCAACGAACAATTGTTGTTTTCCGCAACTTTTTATTTTTTGTTAATCATTTTATATGCATATTTAATAAATATAATTTTGCAACCAGTTGTATTATTTTCGTTTTTTTTGTCAGCAATGTTTTCTGTGGCTTGTTTTGTCAAATCATTTAACTTATGGGAATTTTTGCCGTCCTTTCTGGTTCCGCGTCTATTTTTTTTGTGTCGCTTAAAACCTTTGATGAAGAGTTAAAGAATTTGTAGTGTCCGCAATTTAATTATTTGGAGATACTGTCCAGCGGTTTCGTTGCAGTATAAAAAATTGACTTTTCTTCTGGGTTTCTATCGTTTTTTAGATTTTTTGATTTTTTTGAGATTTGTTAGGAAAGCTAAAGCAACAAAAGTTTTTTTTCTGACTACAATAAGATCAATTTTCAGCCAGTTTGTGATGGGCACTAATAATTTCGTTTGCGAGAATCGTAATTAAAATAGTCGAAAATACTTTTTTAGATTGCTTATTCCGTTTTTCAATTTGAGCAGTTAGAGAAGACAATTTTCCTAGTATCGCTCGTGATTTGTTGAACCAAATGAAAAAATGTATATTTGTTTTTTTTTTAATTATAAGTCTTTGTGGTACATAATGTTTTTGTTGCTTGGCATAAATTTTTTCCGTTTTTTCGGGGTATGTGTTTAAAAATCAGATATAATTTTGGTAAAGCGTTGAATTTCTCTCGATTTGCTTAAGCTGTGAGGTTTTTTGTGATCATTTTTGACGAAAACAATTTCTATTTCCACAGCTCACTTAAGTTAATAATGTTTTGAGTAACAATTTGTAATATTAAATAACAATAAATTTGAGCCAATTTCCAACAGAGACAGCAAATCAGTTTTTTGTTATTTTTCATCATATGTTACGATCAAATTGATAATTTTTGGCTTTGCTGAAATTGGATGGGACCTTCAAATCACGACTGCAAAAGTTTTAATTTGATATACAGTTGAATTGTCTCCGCTGACTATTTATTGTAGCTGATTTTGCGTAGAGAATACAAAAAAAAACTAAAACACACCCAAATACAAAGTTACTCCCCATGTTTGTATGTTATGCTAAAAAACAATATTTTTCTGTTATAATTTTGAATGTTTTGCATCCAATTTCAGAGAAGTCATTAGTTAAGCCAGAAAATTATCGCTTCCATAACTGCACAATTTGCTGTAGTTGGATTGGACCTTCAAAGTCCTAATAGTTCTATATCTTACTATGTCAAACTTACTTGACATGCTACTCGGGTGATTTAGAACACCCGAGAAGTTGTGTTTGATCTAACAGTAAACTAATGCTTTTATTGATCACGTTTTTTCAGCTTTGTCCAAATTAATATCGAAAATATTTCTTTCGTTTTTAAAGTTGTTTTTGAGTAATTTTAAGTTTTCATCTGAAATATTTTTTGTCTGTTATAACTGAAGGCTTGCTATAGTTGACTGGGTGTGATCGAAAGTCATTGAAAGTCAAAAGACAAAAAATTATTATGTTGCAACAAGCATTTATTTTTGTTTTTCTGAATTTTTTCTGATCTATTGAAAAAAAAATTTAATTTTGAAAACCAAAAATCTTTTTTTTGTGTTTTTTTTGTCTTCATTGTTTGGTCATACTAGTTTTTCAAGTACAAATTGTAAAAATATTTACGCAAAGAATTTCCAAAATGAAAGAGCTCTTTTTTAGGAGATTTCACGTTTTATATTCCTGTCAGATTATAAAACTTTGACAAAATTTGCGGTTCCTTTGCAGCTCCGCATCTAGCTTCGTGTGTTGCTTCCAACACTTAGTTAAAATTTAAGATTTTATAGCATCCGCCTTTCACTTATTATGAGGTTTTTTGTATCATTTGCCCAGCTGTTGTTTTATTGCATTAGAAAAGTTTAAGGTTTTTACAGAAATTTTATTGTTTTCTAGGTTTTCTTTTAAGTTTTTTTTTTCGATAAACTAACGCACGACAAGTCATAATTTCTCTGTACAATAAGTTCACCATTTTGTCAAAAGCTGATGTGCACCGGTTGTTTTTTTCGCGAGAATAGTAATTAAATTACTTGAAAACTCTTTTTTAAGTTGCTGATTTCTTGTCTGTTTTAAAATCCGAGCTGATATAAAAATGTAGGTACATTATATCACAAGTGATTTTTTGACAAAAAAATTTAAAAAATAATATGGATTTTTGTTTTCGAATTTTTTGTTGTACTAAAGTTTATGCTTACTTACCATAGATTTTCTCCGGTTTTTCCTCAGTTTTTTTCAGGTTTTCCTTGAAATCATAATCACATTTGATGAAAGGTTGAACTCCCCAAATTTATGCAGCTGAGTGCTAATTTTGTGTCAATTTTCGGCCTAGTTTCACAGCTCCGTTTGGTTGATAATTTTTCGAGTATGAATTTTAAATCAAAGAAGAGAGTCCTATGTAACTAATATCATTCAGAGATTCTAACGTTCTTATAAATTTCTCTTTGTTAAATATTACATGTTACGCTGAAAAAGAAATTATTCTGTTCTAACTAAAGAGTTTGCTGAAATTGAATGGGAACTTTAAAATTCCACTAGTCCTGTATCATACAATTTCAGTTTTACTTGGCTTTCTACTCAGGTTATTTAGGATACCCAAACATTTGCGTTTGATCTACCAGATCTGTAAACGCTGTCTCAGCCTTGTTTTAATTCATTTAAAAAAATCTGTTTCTGCATTCAGCAATTAGTTTTTGGGTTTTTTTTTTAAAAAATCTTCTCTGTTTTGATAAATTTTAGTTTCGCACCCAGCAAATTTTTGTCTATTTTTTTTGTTAATTTGAGCTTAAAAGCAGCAATGAAAGCTTAGTTTCTGATTCTATTCACTGCTGTTTTTTTCAGCAACAAAGTTCTTCAAGAATATGGTGGGTTCTGATATGAGCAGAGAATCTATGAAAGTCTATCCAGCCTTTTTAAGCTTGGTCCATTTCTCGTATTTCTCCATATTTCAGCTTAAGTCATTTTGTTCAGCAATGCTCTTTTTTGCGACTCAAGCACGTTTTTTTTCCGTATAGAATTTTCATGTAAACAACTATTGCATCGAAACTTGGTCAGCCTGTGATAGACCTGAAGCTAGAGGTCAAGTGAGAGCTCATCCTCACACACTATGATTGCCTGGGCCGGGGATCGATTACACGATCTGACTACTTTAAGGTGAACGCTCTAAGAGGATATGTCGAGACAGTGTTAAGGGGACAGTAATTATGTTACCTGCCCACTCCCATCTCCTGGTCCTATTAGTTTTTAACTATTTATTTTCAATACTACACCTTAACAATTGTTAAAGATGTTGTCATGGGTTACTTTTTTTTCCTATTTTTTTATTTCAAAAATCAGCAAAAAAAAAACAATTCGATGTAAAAATTTTAATCAATTTTAACTAAGCAGCCTTAAAGAAAATTTTCTTAAATACTTTTTTTTTACACTAATCTTATTTAATCATTTATCACATGAAAATTATTCAGATCATTGCTCATACCATGTTTGATCACACATGCAAGCAGAGTAGGGAATAATTTGAAGCCGAATTATGGTTCATTTCAATGTCAGATTTGCATTTTTGCATAGATTGTGCTTTCTGCAAGACACGAAATAGGCTGTGACTCTTGCCAACAGTTGGAACCAAGTTAGAGTCGCCTTTACAACTGATCAAATGATTATCACAGCTTGTAAATAGACAAAACAAATAAGAAAGTGTACTCTCTTTAAACGGCGATGTATTCTTTAGTTTTGAGGCTCACTCGTAGACAATAAAGACTTGCTTACATCAGTATTAATTTTTGAAAAAGGTCCATTAGTTTTTCAGATACTTTATATTTTTATTTGGTTATAAACATTTTTACTAAATCACAGAGCGAAAAAAAATGAACCGTACAAATAATTTCAAAACCAATCGACATTACGAGGCCAAACTGTGTGTTTTGTGAATGACAAGCGGATTCCGCAATGGGTCAAAAACAAGTTTGTCGCGGAATCAGCAACAATGCTATTTTTGTTGATGCTTTTGGCTATTTTGGATTCCACCTAAAAATAGCTAAAACACTGTGCTGTGTTGTTCAGTAGCGCTCAAAAACAGACAAATTTGCAGAATCCGCCACAAAAATTGCGGTTTCCACAATCAAATATAAATTCATATTTTATTCATTACTTTTTTGCGGAAACCAATTGCAATTTGCGGAATCTGCTTATACTTTCGGAATCCAGAACAACTAGCTCTATTCGCCTGTAGCTTAATGCGGAATCCGTGGAAAAACTAAAAAACTAATAAGCCGACAAAACTTACGTTAAATGGTTTTATGTTCGGAATCCACGGAATTTTTGTAAGTGTAATCCACTTACATTTTGTAATATATTAAAAAGTTTGTCTTTGAATTCCAGTGACCTAATGACAACAATTTGGGCGCCTATCCAATGCACAGTTTGGTCTCGTAATGACCTTAATTGAACTGTTAACTAAAAAAATTGATTATCAAAACGTTGAAGCGCTTAGGGCGCGCTAATTCTAATGCATCTTTTTGTTTTTCTTTCTGGCACATACTTTCTTGGCCACTTTTTACAATTAAACGTGGTCGCGACTCCTCTGATTTTATCTGAATATGTCAAAAAAATAAAAACTACAAGAGGTATTCTATTTAAAACTAAGATGAATACCTCGGTACTGAGCAAAAATTACATAAGGGTAAGCTCTCACTTGGTCTCTAGCTTCAGGCCTACCACAGCCTGACAAATTTCGTCTGCAACAGTGGTACCAGGAGAAATTTCTATTCGCAAAAATTGACATTGAGTCGCAACAAAGAGCTAAGTTTAACAAAATAACTCATTCTGGAATGTGTGTAAATAAAAACAGACTATGCTTAGACAGTCGTGATAGTCTTTCGTAAATCCTTTGCGAATCGTAGAAATCACAACTACTTAATTAAAGTACGAAATTATCCATAATTTATGGACTGTATGATTTCTGTATGAATTTTGTCGTACAACGTAAAAAGTGCCTTTTGATATAAATATTTTGAAAACTAATTTCAATTTTAACCTTCCTTTTTCACTTGTTCATTTGACTCAAAATGAAAATTTTTATGCAATTGTTTTTGTTCCCCTTTTAAAATCTCATTATATTAAGACGGGAAATGCAGGCTCAAAAAATATTTTTGTGTGTCGAATGAAATTGAGTTATAAAAGGAAATAGATAGTTAAACAGGGGCGGATTTAGAAGGGGCGAAGAGTGGGGGGACGCCCTCACCCCTCAGGGCTTCGACCCCCTCACCAGCCAAAGGGCCCCCATTTGGTATTTTTATGACATCCGTTTTCGCCTGATCAACCCCACAATTTTCTAATAGCACTTCCGGCGCCACTATATATTAATTTTGAAGGGGAATATACTAATTTTGAAAGGGAATATACCAATTTTTTTTAACCTGTTTTTCGAAAATATTTTTGTCTAGATATTTTTTACGTGCGGTGAAAAAGTTTTTGTCTAAATTGGGTTTTCATAGTGTTCAGCCAAGTTGGTTGCACTGCGTTTTCAATTTTAAAGTAGAATTTATGCTGTTTCAAAGTTGGGAACTTGACTTTTTCACTTGACATCAGGGGCGGATCTAGGATTTTCTCGAGGGTGGGGGGGGGGGGGGGATTTTCAAAAAATTGTCCAAAATTTTGACGACCTTTTTTTTTTTTTAGGTCGACCAAATTAATTTTTCGAGCTCTCCCAAAGCACTGTTTTGCCCCTAGTTTGGCAAAATTTTCTGCGCCGCAGGCAAATTTTTGAAAAAACAGTCAAAAAAGCCGTTTTTGGGCAATTTTTGAAAAATTTTGACAAAAAAATCGCGTGTTTTTTTTGGCGCGCGCTCCCCCTCAAAGTTAGTATATATTGGCCGAAGGCGCTTTTAGAAAAATTTTAGGGTCGGTCGGCCAAAAATGGATTTCTGAAAAATTATCAAAGGGGGGACCCTTTGGGTCGGCAGGGGGTCGAATCCCTGAGGGGAGGGGGCGTCCGCCCCCCCCCCCCCGCCCCCCTCTAAATCCGCCCCTGCTTGACATTGTTCAGTTTTCAATTCGTGCGCTAATGGCATGCACAATGTATACTGAAGAAAGAAAAATTGGAAGTATAAGTTCGTTTTTTGATCGGGTTCAACTACTCCTGTTTTCATTTTAATAGGAACCTTGGACAACTTGACTGCACACTCCTCCCCTATACAGAAAGTGTACGGCGACAACAACCCCATGCCAAACACTGACCCTGACGCAGTGGCACGCAACAAGGAGGCGTGGCTTCAGATTGCCGCGCCCTTTCTCGTATCAACCCTGGCTAACCGAGGATTCATGTATGGCGACAAGTTTACAGCATTGGATGTAATTGTAGGCTTCTTTGTGATTGGCGTACAATTCAAGCGACCTGATTGGATAATACCGTTTGCAACCTTGAATGATTACGTGAACAGATTGAAGCTGCGACCGATGTTTCAAAAGACTTTCCAAACAGCATGAATTAAAACCTCTAAACTCATCAAATTGTAACACCATCTTGATTGCTGCTGCTTGTTGAGCAAACAAAAGTTCCCCGCGCGGCGGCGTTTTAATTTTTTCTGAAAAAACAATTAACTCAGCAAATTGTCAATTTTTCTTATCCGTTTTGCTCCAAAACAGAACAATATTCACGCAAAATTGTCAACGGTTTACAAGCAGGAACTCAAAATTTTAAATTGTCATCAATTTTCAGCACTGTTGAACGCCCCCAATTTTCGCATCATTTTTTAAAGTGTAAAACAAGAAATATTTGTATCTATGTCATTAGAGAATATTGTTCTGATCAATATTCTCGGGGCAGTACAACAATGCCGAAGTGCAACAGTGCCGAAAAAGTAAAATGTTGTTCAACTGTGGCAACAATTGATTTGAATACGGTTTTTACTCATCCGAAATCACTGGCAACATAATAAGTTCAACTCGACGGACGTTGAAAAATCAAAAATGGTCATTTTGATTGATGCCGCTTGGTACAACACAATTCGTATAAATTAGCAATAACGACAACTCGCAAAACCGAATAACTTGCTGTAAACTCCTAAGACAATCCTTTATTTAACCCTAAACTAAGACCCACAATCCCCACTGAATATCATTTCATTTTATACTTAATTCAAAACAGTTATGGGGGAAAGATATGAGTATTTTTGTTCGTTTAACACCAAAAATTGAATCCAAAACCTTGATTTTATTATTTGGTATATCATCATTTCGGTTACTCACTAAGTTTCTACTCATTCAATTAATATTGCAACTCATTACAAGTCAGCGCGGAAAACAAATCTTGATCTTGAAGATGCAAAAAATTTAAATGAAGTTTAAATTGATGAGAAAAAGTGTTAACATCTTGGAGAGGCTCAATAAAACCGTGCAAATCACGGTAATTACACGTAATGATTTGGATCCTCTACATTCAGTGTTGCCTCATGAAAGATAGTTGAAAAGTAGTTTTTCTACATATGTCATAACTTTTCAACAATTTTCAATTTTAAACTTCGAAAAAAAATAGTCTCAAAAAAGTTTAAAAAGCATGACCGTTAAACTGTTAAACGAGGTGGGAATGTACAAAAAAAAAAAAAACTTGACAAATGCGTTCAAAAATATAGTCTTCACTTTTTGCAGTAGTTCTGGGGCAAAAAGTAAGTTTTCCGGAATGTTTCAGTTTCATGTAAAAAGCAACAGAATAAGGACTGGCGGTTGAATACAGAGAAAGCAAACACATAAAAAAGAAAGTGAAATCATTTAATACGCTGGCTCTCATTCCTGAATTGCGACCTGAAGTTGGCACTAGAAGCTCTCTACGCAAACCAACTGAGAATTAGCAGTTCCGGTCATATCGAAATTTTTCCAAAATTTTTGGGTGGGGAATATGTACGTAAGGTTCATCGAAAACTTCCAGATTTCGAACCAGGTAAATGGAATCAGTTCAGAAATGCGATAAAAAGAAATAAAAAAACCAACTATTCGTTCGAAGGATGGCATAGAGGTTTCCAATTAGGAATGGGTTATGCTCACCCCACTGTATCAAAGTTCATTCACCAAATAAAGAAGGAGCAAAGTTGAACCCAAAATTACCTGACTCGGTTCAAAACCGATTAAAAGCACTATAATTGATCTAAACATGAACAATTGCAACAAATCATTTCAGAAACTTTTAAAAACTATCAAAACAAAAATCTAATTCGCAACTGGAAGCTCATTCATTTAAATTTGATCTGTAAAACCTTTTTATAAAAAAGAAATTTTGACGCCTCAAAGGCCTCAATGTTTTTTTTTAATCTTTTTTTTTAAATTATATTGAAGCGAAGTTTAATTTTTTTTTTCGGATTTCATACGAGTTGTCTCTTGTTTCGAGTTGTCTTTTTTGGTAGTTGCTTCTTGTTGCTTTGTTCTCAATTCATCTCCAAAACAAAATAGTTTTCAAGTATATTACCAAATTGCCATTCGTTTTCAAACAAAACTCAAAAATTTCAGATGTCCTCAATTTTTGGAACTGTTGAAACATTTTCAGTTTCGGCACTGGTGCACTTCGGCACTTTTGAACGCCCCCATATTTTCCGAGCATGGTACAACTTATTTTTAGCAAACCCAAATTAAATTTACAAACAAGTTGAGATAGGTGGTGTAACTCACTGGAAATTTTGAAAAGTATACAGGAAAAAACTTGGGTTCGGAGCAAAAAAAGCCGAAGACCTGAAGAAACGACTTTTTTGACCATCTGCGGAGATCAACCTACCGTTGTGTGCCTCTTAAAGCTTAAAGATTAACATTGCAATGATCTTTCGGCTCTAAGAAAATAACAAAAAACGTTGACAACTTGAGATACCAAGTTGGGGATAATGGTTTAAGAAAATGGAAAAACTGAGGAGAATTTTTATTATTGTTGGAAGACAGTTTTTTTTCAAAACTTGCGAACCCTTAAGATCATATATCAACTTGCTAGCGCTTCATGCACGCCGCACACACTAGATTTATTGAAGTTTTGCAAACAGAAGGAATCAGATCAACACAAGTTTCACAAAGAAGTTGGATGTCGAAAAATGCTTTGAAAAAGTAATTTAGAAGATTTTTTCTTGAAAGTTTTTCCATCTGAATTATCTTCAGAAATATCCACAAAAAGAAAATAAGCATCCAGAACTGTAGCATCCATTGCAGAAATTGACAACCGCGACAATCAATCTAAAACCCTGTTACAAAAAATATCCACTTGAAATTTTTTTATTACAGCTAGACAAAATCCCGCCCCCACACCATGCCAACACAAATAGAAAATGCTATATGGCGTTTTTAAAACGTAATTTTTGCTAACTTTTGAAATTGGAAATGCAGCAACTTTTCAATAGCAGAATTTGTTAACTTTGGAATTTTGAGGCTATTTAATATAGATGAAATTTACTATTAAAAAAAATCTGTTGAGTTGCTTTTCTCCGATGCTCAATTATCTTGTCCCCTAACAGATGACGTTACTTTAAAAGTAAGAGTCCCAATAAGAAAAAATGGTAAAACTACAGTTTTTGGAAATATGACTTTGCTTTAACAGATGACTTTGCTTTAAAAATGACTTTGCTTTAAAAGTGACTTTTCTTTAAAAATGATTTTGCTTTAAAAAATGACTTTGATTAAAGATGATTTTTTTTAAATGACTTTGCTTTAAAAGTTAGAGTCCCAATATAAAAAATGGAAAAACTACTTATCTGGAAAACTACAATAAAATCAAAATTTTCGGGTTTCCTTCAAATAAAAACAGCTGGTCGTACAAATATTTGTATGAAGTCTGTGCAAAAACGCTTGTCATATAGAAAATAGAAATTTTTTTTTGCAAAAACAAAATCCTGAAATCATTCAAAAAGTTTCATAGAGAGGCCAAACTTTGTCTTTTTTTGTGAATTGCAAGCAAATCCCGCAGAGGCCAAAAACAGTTTTTTTTGCGGAATCAGTGACTTTTCAAGGTTTCCCTGAAAGCCTTTACTATTTAAGGATTTCTTGAACGAGTAGCAAAAACACGGTATTGCAAAAAATTGCTGCAAAAACAGCCGATTTTTAGGAATCCGGAACAGTTTATAGAGTCCTCAAACAAATAATATATAATGAATAATAAAAAATATATATGTGTATGGTAAAACTAAGCTGTCGCGGAATCCGCCCTTTGCAATCGAAATCGACCAGTTTAAGCGAAAAATCTGCAGAATGTCAGCAAAATCTGTTTTGACATATGCAACATATGAAATTGCTTCTGAAAATAAAATTTTCACCTTGAGTCTAACTTTCATGGGTGACAAGCAAGATTTTCCAGCAATTCAATCTTGTTTACTGCCAACTGTTTAAACTAAAATACCGAAAACAGTTGAATATCCTTTACTACCAACAATTCAATTTCATTAACTGCCTACAGATAAACCTGAAACGCTGAAAAAATGATTAATGAAAAATTGAATACCTTTCCTATGTCAAATATTCAAATATTGAAACTAAATTGAGTCACGCTAAATCTTGTATTATAATAGTTTTCATGTCAATTCAGCCGTCATCTCAGTTTTTCAAATAAATGCAAGATAAAATATAATTAGGCCAGACTTTTATTTGAATCCGAATTTCAAACTGATTTTCATTAAGCAATTAAGCGATAAAAATTTTCAGTCCAGAATAGTTTGAATTGATATTTTTTTGCCGATATTGCAATATGTTTAGATCATATGTAAGAGAATAACAAAAGTAATAGCTCAAAATTTAGAGACTTCATTCTATACATCTAACAATGTCCTAACCAAAACAAGGAAATCGAAAAAATGATTTTGCTAGTTCGGCTTTAAAATGATATGCTGCCCAATCTAAGATTCCCAAAACATTGACTCGGGTAGATCTGTTATTGGGTTTCACTGACAAGAATTAAACAATTGCTTTGAAACACCGCATTTGCTAGATATAATTTCGGAATTGTTCTCTGAATTGTTCACGGCAGAGCATGGAAGTTTTTTTTGTTTATTAAGAGCATTTCGATTGTCAAATTTATGATTTTGATTGTAAGCGTAAATGTCTTCATCTTTAATTTTTTCTAACAGAGCGTATGTCAAGCAATTTTTTTTAAAAAAAGTACAAAAAATCAGTATCAAAGCTTTTTCATCTTTCAACTGTTGAAGTGCTTTATAATCTACCGCGTCTTTGTGCAAAATTTACAAAATTTTTCTGGAAGGAAATCAGATTTATTGTTTGCACCCAAAAATTCAAAAATAAAAATGATTGTTTTTTAACAAGCTTCAGTTATTATGCGTTTGTTCCCAATGTTAAAGTTAAATTAAATCTTTTAAAAAAGTAGCCCTCAAAATACAAACTGAGTTTTTGAGATATATTTTTCCAATAAAAAAAATTAGGTTTTTGATGCACAATTTTGAGTTGAATTTTTTCATTAAGAAGACCAATCTTAAAATGCAATTCGTAAGTGATGTTTTTGCTACTTAGCTCTCAATTTTTCTCAAATTTTTTGTTTTGCATACAATTTCTCTAGTGGAGCTGCACTGGGTAGAATTGTTGTAAAATTTAATTTAGCAGCAGAAAAACTGAACAAGGCCAGAAGAATATTTAAGCATAGTAAACCTGCTTTTCTGAGGTTACACTTTTTAGATTCTATACTACTCTGCTTTTTGACCGGCCACCATTTCCATTACATTATAGACTGCTGTCATATAATTCAGTATTACTGAGAATT